CTCTCACTGACAAACACACACTCACTCACAGACACCAAACAGATTTACTAACAGACGCACACAAACTAACACACTCAGTAACAGACACACACAGTAACACACTCACTGACACACAAACTAACACACACACTGACACTAGCAGACACACACTCAATAACAGACACACACAAACTAACACACTCAGTAACAGACACATACACACAGTAACACACACACTGACACACAAACACTAACACACTCACTGACACACACTAACACACATACACACTCACATTTTTTTTATTTAACCCCCCAGCCTCCATTTCCCTGGGGTGCAATGGGGATGCTGGGTGGCCGGTCACTGATGCGCGCCGCTTATTGATGAGTGACGTCATATTCCGGCTCCCGCATCACTGCGGTGAGCGCGAGGGAGCTGGGCAGAGAGCGCTCAGGGGAGATTGCTCCCTTGCGTGCATGCCCGCCAACTGACACCACTGCCAGCCTCGGGGGGCCCTGAGGTGGCCAGTTCGTGGGCCCCCCAGGAGAAGAGGTTGGCAAACTAGCGTACATACCCGTGTTGCAGGGCGGCCGGGCCACCTGGTGGGCCGGGCCCGGTCACAGCTGCGATACCTGCGACCGTGGTATGTACGCCAGTGATGGTGACTATAGTGTCCCTTTTTGTGAAATCATATTATTACATCATGAATATCTTTCAGAATTAGCAGAATGGCAGAAAACATGTTTTTATGAAATAATTTATAAATGCCGGAGATAGAGACCGCTGAAGGGATTTCCACAGGAGAGCAATCAGTCATGCTTTCTATAAGAGTCATGTTAGTGCACACGTACACAATCTCACTATCTATAGATCTATAGATACACTTAGAATATTCTTAATTATTGGAAGTGAAAGCTGACATGGGAAGCCAGGTACTTTCCATCCACACACATGTCACTTCAAAATAAAGACAGCGCAGAAAATAAATTCTAAAATAAACATTTTAGTTTGCTGAACTGCAAACAATAACTCTCAGTGGAAGCCATAACTTCATAAGACAAACATTTTCTAAAGATTTACAGAGTTCATAAATCCTGTCAGAATGAGGCAGTACACCCCAAAGTGAATGCCCCACTACCTACTGAATTAGAGGGAGGAATACAGAGACTGACTGAATGCTTAAAGGACCACTATAGTGCCAGGAAAACATACTCGTTTTCCTGGCACTATAGTGCCTGTGGGTGCCCCCACCCTCAGGGCCCCCCTCCCGCCGGGCTCTGGGGAGAGGAAAGGGTTAAAACTTACCTTTTCTCCAGCACCGGGTGGGGAGCTCTCCTCTCCGCCTCCGATCCTCCTCTTCGGCTGAATGCGCATGCGCGGCAGGAGCTGCGTGCGCATTCAGCCAGTCTCAGACCCCGCCCTACATCTACCATACATATAAATGGGAGCATGCACGTGTTGCGTCACAATGACATGCGTGTGTAGAGAATTCAGTGCTCTGCAATGTATGTACTGAGGCCATGTTGTAGTCCTTGGAGAGTTATCCATGGGATCAGTGCACGTGGTCCTAGGAGAGCTTGCATTGCAGTCAGTGCACATGGTCCTAGGAGAGCTTGCATTGCAGTCAGTGTACATGGTCATAGGAGTGCTTGCATTGCAGTCAGTGTACATGGGCATATGAGAGCTTGCATTGCAGTCGGTGTACATGGTCATAGGAGAGCTTGCATTGCAGTCGGTGTACATGGTCATAGGAGAGCTGACATTGCAGTCAATGTACATGGTCATAGGAGAGCTTGCATTGCAGTCAGTGTACGTGGTCCTAGGAGAGCTTGCATTGCAATCAGTGTACGTGGTCATAGGAGAGCTTGCATTGCAGTCAGTGCACGTGGTCCTAGGAGAGCTTGCATTGCAGTCAGTGTACATGGTCATAGGAGAGCTTGCATTGCAGTCAGTGCACGGCGTCCTAGGAGAACTTGCATTGCAGTCAGTGTACATGGTCATAGGACAGCTTGCATTGCAGTCAGTGTACATGGTCATAGGAGAGCTTACACTGTAGTTGGTGCATGTGGATCTGGAACAGCTTGCATTGCAGTTGGTACACATGGTCCTGGTAGAGCTTGAGTTGCAGTTGGTGTACATGGTCCTAGGAGAGCTTACATTGAAGTCAGTACACATTGTCCTAGGAGAGCTTACATTGCAGTTAGTGCACATGGTCATAGGAGAGCTTACATTGCAGTTGGTGTACATGGTCCTAGGAGAGCTTACATTGCAGTCAGTGCACATGGTCCTAGGAGAGCTTACATTGCAGTTGGTGTACATGGTCCTAGGAGAGCTTACATTACAGTCAGTGCACATGGTCCTAGGAGAGCTTACATTGCAGTCAGTGCACATGGTCCTAGAAGAGCTTACATTGCAGTTGGTGTACATGGTCCTAGAAGAGCTTACATTGCAGTTGGTGTACATGGTCCTAGGAGAGCTTACATTACAGTCAGTGCACATGGTCCTAGGAGAGCTTACATTACAGTCAGTGCACATGGTCCTAGGAGAGCTTACATTACAGTCAGTGCACATGGTCCTAGGAGAGCTTACATTACAGTCAGTGCACATGGTCCTCGAAGAGCTAGCATTGCAGTCAGTGCACATGGTCCTAGGAGAGCTTACATTGCAGTCAGTGCACATGGTCCTAGGAGAGCTTACATTGCAGTCAGTGCACATGGTCCTCGAAGAGCTAGCATTGCAGTCAGTGCACATGGTCATAGGAGAGCTTACATTGCAGTTGGTGCATGTGGTCCTACGTTAGCTTGCATTGCAGTCAGTGCACATGGTCCTGGTCATACTGTTCTGGATAATAGCTGTCCTATATTAAGTTTCTATTAAAGGAGTCTAAATGATGAAAAAAACAATCATTTTTGATTGGCTAATCCGCAGTGAGAGGATGCTCTTATACTGCTCCAGTTTACAGCAGCCACATGTGAGTGCTTCAGAGTGTTTCTTGATTCAGTTGGGGGATAAGAAGACTTTTGGCTATAGAGAAGGGGTCTTTAAACATAGGGGAGGCTAGAAATTGGGTTCGAAACTGGAAAAAAGGGTTGATAAAGACTGAAGTGCAAGGGGTAAGGCTGGAAATATGAGCAGGAACTTGTTAGGAATGAGATGGCTTCAATCTCTGATTGTGGAGGGACCCATACCTTTTTTACGAAAATTGATGTGAAACCTGGCCTCCTGATTTATCGGCACCATCACCTGCAAGTCCTACACATAGTTGGAGTGTATAAGAACCTGCGCGTTTCGCTGTGTCATGTTTTTATATCCTTCTCTGTTCTCTCTTTATAATTCAAACTTTAACACATAAATGTGTCTATTTTGACCTAAAATGTCACATTTTAGTGAATAGCCGTGAATAAACAGAATTAGCCTGAATTATACCTACCAGCAGAACAAAGTATTGAACTGTCTTACACGACTGTGGTGGTTTTGGACGTTTGTAGGAGAGTTTTTTACCAGTATACAGAGAGTCACACTGATTTTGTAAAATGTAATAAGAAGGACGAATGTAAATGTTGTTTGATCAGCAGGAAATGGTGGCTCCAGTCAAGGCGCAGACAGAGCGTCTCCCCATTAGTATTCTTTTTTAATGATCCCTATATCCTTTCATTGCCTAGTGATTCAATTAATATTATTATAGAATAACCAGGAGCGCTATGAGAAGGTGAGAACCGCGTGTTAAAACAAATCCGCATTAACCCTTCAGCTACTGCCCCACAAGCAGTTGATTTTTTTTAATCAAAGTACTTTGCTGACAAGTGACAACAAGAACATTTTTCGTAATAAATGAGTTAAACGCTGAGAACATGAACCAGACATGCCTAAATCTTTTATATCCTCTGATTTATTTATTTTTATGAGATTTTTTTCTTTTTGAATCTATTTATATTTTATTATTAAAGACTATTAACCATTCCGCATATTTCATATTTCCAATTTAACCCTCTAAGAATCCAGTTTGAATTACACTCAATACTGAAGGGTCCCTCTGGGTGGGTTACCATGAATTATTCTAATAATTGTTCATGGATTGTGTTTTAATAATAAACAGGTTACTGTAACATGACTGCATTATCACAGTTACAAGAGGTGGTCAGGACACTGCTCAAACAAGTTTATAATCTATTCAAAATAAAGACTAATTGCTCGTATGGTGTCAGCACTATAAAGACTGCAGACAGTATATATTTTAAATAAAGTATAAAGAGATAATTGGATTACTGGATAGATGGGGACAGAGAGAAGCTAACTGGTTTTTAGACTTCCCACCCTAAAGAAGGGCTTTGGTAAGATTTATTAAGGACGGCACAGAAGGGGAAAGTCTAATTGGAAGGACAGTGACTCCAAGAAGAATAGGACAGCTCTACAGGAGCCTTGAAGATGACAGTTACAGGTACGGGCAGACAGTTGCCACAGGGAGGCAGTTGATTGGGACGGATGTGACTATGGATTACATATTCAGATTAAAGCACTTGTAATGAAAGGTGAGAGTGAGTGCCGGCAGAGTGGTGAGGTGTGACAGACCTCTCTGTCTTTGGATTACTGTGATTTAACCTTGGTTCGTCTGTTTGTTCGGTAATTGCCACTTGTCCGTACGGCCCTATGTTTCATTCCCCTTTATGCGAAAGAACTACCGAATGGCGGGCCACCCAGCAGGGAAGTGTGCTGCTTGTTAACCTTTTTACCCTCATTAATGTTGTGGTTAACCACAGACACTTCTAACTCCCGAACGGTGGGCTGGGTCGTCATCGTTCGTATGAACGAACACGTGGCGGCGGCCATCTTGGACATTCGAACGCCCAGCGGTGTTTGTCGACAAAACCCATGGAACTAAAATCGGACACTATTTCATACGAACACCGCTGAAGTCGCCGACTGTGACGAGACCAATATCGCCACATTGCATTGGAGAAGCCTGGTTGCTCGCCTGCTGCCTTTGGACTATGGCCCCCTTTTAAAAGACTTTATTTGCCTGCAGAAAAGCTGTATTCGTGCTTCTCTGCCGGTTGTTCGGTAGTTTCAATCTACCGAACAACCGCACGAATGAATAGACCACCTGGGAGCTGGAGTGTGCCGGCAATTAACCTCCCTGAAGCTGCGGTTAACCGCAGCTTAATTGATGAATGCTGGGTGGCCGCCATTCGTATCCCGAACACGAGGTCGCGGCCATTTTAAAACATACGAATGCACAGCGGTGTTCGCCTCTATTTTCATGGAACTAAAATCGGACACAGTTTTGCGCGAACACCGCTGGAGCCGCCGACCTCCCTTCTTGTTCGGTGGAAGTGCACGAACGGCCCGGTGTTCGGTAGTTTTGTTAGAAAATGTTATACCCCAGATAGGAATCCCATGGAGCCCATTCGTATGAAACTGACTGTGTAAAGACTTTAGCTCCATGGCGATTAAACTGTATTCGTGTGGTCTGAGTGCCATTCACCTAATAATGTGCACTCAGACCTGAGCTATCTGGGGATATGTTACATGTCTGTGTTTTGTGGAATAAATGTTACTTTATGTATTTTAAAGTATAATGCTGGTTTTGTGTCCCCACATGGGTAATGGAGTTTTGCCTTTGTCTTGGAAGATAATTGAGTTACTTCTCAATTATCTCCCAGGGCAGAGGGGAGGAAGCCAGGATGCATTGTGGGAATATACTGTGACTGTGTGTCCTATTTGTCTACTTGTCTGTCCCTTGTCACAGTCTCCCATTTGGTCCCCTAGGGGAGTGTCCACCAGGTGGGAGACCTGCATAAATACTGGGCAGGTAGCCCTCATTAAACAGACCACTGCTTGACCCTCAACACGGAGCTCTGTCTCGTCTTTGGGGGATTTACTGTATGCTGCTAAGGACTGATTGCCAGGAGTGTAAGCCGCTTGGGAGCTTTTCCTGTTCGTCTGGTAGCAGCAATTCGTATGGTTCCTGTTCGTGTATTTGGAGTGCTACCTTATTCCCTTGTATGCCGTTCGGGAGTTTGGAGCATTCACTTGTATGCAGTTCGAGTGTGTGGACCATTCCCTTGTATGCAGTTCGAGTGTTTGGAGCATTCCCTTGTATGCCGTTCGGGAGTTTGGAGCATTCACTTGTATTCAGTTCATGAGTTTTGGTGATTCTACAGTAGCTGTGCCTGTCTCTGAAAGGGGATTATCGTCTAAGCGTTTTTTTTTTCCCTTTTGTGCAAAACGGTCCGTTACAATTGGTGGCAAGCGGCGGGATCGTTCCCACAGACTACAGGACAGCTACAGGCAACACCATTCCGTGGATTTACAATTTGAGGGCAACGCATGTCTGAGTACAGCGACCCTGACAGCACCAGGATGGAACCAGCAGTGGAGTACAGATACTCTATGAGAGAGTATGACCGTATGATGTGGTTGCAGCTGAACTTCTTTGGACCCAATCCAGCTGAGAAACACGTGCAGTCCATGAGGAACCTAGTGTTCATGAATCTGCAACACCGGGCAGAAAGAGAAGGTCAGCTGGCACGTTGGGAAGAACTCCAGCGACAGGTACTGCAGGGAATTGGGAGCCCAGTCTCCATTCCCCAGCGGCAGTGTTATATGCAGGGAATTGGGAGCCCAGTCTCCATTCCCCAGCGGCAGTGTGATATGCAGGGAATTGGGAGCCCAGTCTCCATTCCCCAGCGGCAGAGTGAATTGCAGGGAATTGGGAGCCCAGTCTCCATTCCCCAGCGGGAGATATTGCAGGGAATTGGGAGCCTGGGCTCCATTCCCCAGCGGCAGGCTGAGTTACAGGGGACAGAGATAGTTGCTCCTGTCCCCCAGCAGCAGAATGAATTGCAGGGAATTGGGAGCCCAGTCTCCATTCCCCAGCGGGAGAAATTGCAGGGAATTGGGAGCCCAGTCTCCATCCCCCAGCAGGAGATATTGCAGGGAATTGGGAGCCCGAGCTCCATTCCCCAGCGGGAGATATTGCAGGGAATTGGGAGCCTGAGCTCCATTCCCCAGCGGCAGGCTGAGTTACAGGGGACAGAGATAGTTGCCCCTGTCCCCCAGCAGCAGAATGAATTGCAGGGAATTGGGAGCCCAGTCTCCATTCCCCAGCGGCAGTGTGATATGCAGGGAATAGGGAGCCCAGTCTCCATTCCCCAGCGGCAGAGTGTCCTACCGGG